GGTATTTGGTATTTTAAGATAAAATACCGAAATACCGATACCGTACCGAAATATATATTATTATACAAAACACATATTATCAATTATAACATAAATATAAAAAAATCTAAAATCTTACTTTCCTTTATTCTCAAAGTTCATCAATTAACTCTAAACAAGTAACAAGACATTTCTAATGATTAAATATTCTTTTATGTACAATTTTTCTCTATTTGGGTCGATATTTGGTAGTTTTGGACAAAACTTTTGTCAACAAACATTTTCAGTTTTGTATTTTTGAGTACTTTAATTAAGAATATTAGAGTGTATGGCTCTATGCACTAGTTAGTATTCAAACCGAATAAACCGAAGTTACCGAACCGAATAAACCTAAACCGAAAGGGGGAAAACCGAACCATACCGAATTTAATTAGGTACGGTATTGGTATAGGACTTTAAGAAGCCGAATACCGAAAATACCGAACCGAAATGTCTAAATACCGTACCGTACCGACCGACGAACACCCCTAGTCCCTAGGGGCTCGGGGGAGTTTCAGGTTAATTTCGAACCCTTTTTCCTCATGTTTGGCATAGCTGATTCTGTGTTGGTTCTGGTGTTTCTGGCATTCTTCGCGATCGCCGGAGGAATAAACACGATTGTGTAGAGTATTCGGAGCTACTGGGATTTTTTTTATCGCGTTCGCGAGAAGCGGACCGCGTTCGCGGAAGGTTGGGGGGTTGGTACATCGTGTTCGCAAGTGGAGTTTCCCAATTGCGGAGCAGCTGGGAGCTGGGAACTTCCTTCTTCGCGTCCGCTTGACTGTGGACGCGTTTGCGTAGTGTTGGTGCATGTGTTCATCGCGTTCGCGAGGGTAGTGCCGCGAACGCAAAGCATATTTTTTTGACTGATCTCATTCTGTGCATCGCGATCGCGTGGGTACAACCGCGATCGCGTAAAGGACCACTGGACAGAGCACATAAGCACTCTATTTCGGACCTTTGAGTTATTTTATCACATTTTGAGTTGTGGAGCACGGATTTTGACGATTTTGGAGGCGATTTTCATCACATGGATTGGGGTAAGTATATTCTACTCGATTTTGATTATATTCCGTGATTCTATCTTTGTTCTTAGTAGTTGGATTATGAATTTTAAGGAGAAATTTGGGGTTTTTGCCTAAAATTTCGTAAATGAATTTTTGAGTTTTTAATATTGATCTGGATTTGGATTTTAGTGAAACTAGTATGGTTGGACTCATAATTGAATGGTTTGTTGGATTTTGTGATGGTTCCGAGGTGCAGTCCCGGGTTTGACATTTTAGTTGACTTCGAAATTTTGATAAGAGATTTGACTTTTATCATTTGAAATTATTTTATTAGGTATTATTTGATGTCTTTGAGTTGCTTTTGGCTAGTATCGAGCCGTTCGGAGGATGATTTGAGCGGGATGGCGCTTCTAGGGTATCGATTTAGCTCGTTTGAGGTAAGTGTATTGCCTAATTTTGTTGAGTGAATTTTTCCTACTAATTGGCATTATTTGTTTCATGCGGGGGTGATACATATATGAGGTGACGAGCGTATATGCATGTGCCAGGGTTGATCATGCTCGGGGGTAAATTATACAATAAATTGCGCCTTGTAGTATTACGTGACCTTCTTGCTTCATGTCTTACTTGACTTCTAGATTAATAAGAATATGGAATTAAATGTTAGAAACCACGATCCATTTTATTATAACTTGATTAAAATTTGACGGAATTTTGAGAAACATTGATATGTCTAATTCGGTCATCATTATGATTAATCACTAAATTGCTACGATCGTTATTCTTGAGATATTAGATTCTATACTTGAGTTGTAGATCATTTTTGAGATTTGTTGAAATACTTGAACAATAAGGTTCTTGAAGGTTTTATTGAACTATTGTTGGCTTGAAAGTTGTGATTGAGGTTCATTTGGAATATTTATTTAACCACTCTCCTTGATGTTATTTATGCTTCCTACCTTGCTTGTCATGGATATACATATTCTTGGTGAGGAAGAGCGTAAAGCACGAAGGATGATGCTGTACCATTGCATATATATTATCATGTGAGGGAGAGTGTAAAGCACGAAGGGTGATGCCGCGCCATTTCATATATTTTATCATGTGAAGAAAAGTGTAAAGCACGAAGGGTGATGCCGTGCCATTTTATTTAAGAGTTAAATCACGAAGGGTGATGCCATGCCATTTAATTGATATTACCTTATTTTTATATTATCATGATTTCATTGCACGGAGGGTGTTTTCGTGCAGGCGAGGAGGAGGGACATGCCTTATGTTGTGATATCTTTTCCTTGTGTGTACATTCATGCCTTTACCCGGAGTTATTACTATAGCATCTATGTTATCTACGTAACATCCTGTTGTTGTTCTGTCTTTGTCCTCTATCTCATTGTTGTTGCATTGTCCATGCCTTCTATCTGTTTAACTGCAATCATGCCTTCCTTCCTGTTGTTATATCTACATCCATGTCGTTTCTATTTTGTTGCACTTTAGTATAAGCCTTCTACCATGTTAGTCATTCATACCTTAGCTTATAAAAATCATATTTTCCCTTCTTATTTGTTATATCTACATATATGCCTTCTACCATTCTAGTTAGGTGAAATTATGTTCTTCTTTTCTAGTTAATGTCATTACTCATGTGCCTCCTACCTAGTCCATTTCTGTCATCCATATGTACTAGCTCGTTCATTATTGCTACTTGTGTATTTCTTACTTTGTCTTTACTGATCGACATTTCTTTTACCTTGTTGGTACCGTTATACGTATATTTGGTGAGGATGAGATAAACGCACGAAAGGTGTTGCCGTGCCATTTGATTTGATGTCTTGAGTATATTTCTCACACTATGAAAGTTAAGGATTTATTACCATGATTTTACGGTTATCGCTCTAAGGAAAGGATTGGTCGTGAGGAATATTAATTGTGGTTCTTCTAGAAATCATTTACTGCTTCGCATATTTGTTTCCTTATACTCTATTCTGTCATGTTCTAATATTGCTCTATTGTTATTCTTCTGCACAGGTTATATCAGTGAGTATCTTTTAACTAAAAAGCCACGTCACTACTTCACCGAGGTTAGTCAAGATACTTACTGAGTACATGGGGTCAGTTATAGTCATACTACACTTCTGTACCTTGCGTGCAAATTTTGGAGCGGAGCCGCGGGTGATGACGGGGGCTGACTCTGAAGATGTTAGTGCCTTCCAGATATGGCTACCACTTGTCCCTAGGTAGTTCTCGAGTTGAATTCTATTTAAGTACATTTCAAACAGAAGTTGTATTTATTTCATATCCGTTTTTGTAATAATCCGGTCTTAGAAGCTCATGTCTTGTACTACCAATCCTTGGAATGTTGTATGAAAATCCAAAAATATCATTTGTTGATCACCTTTATTTTATTAGAATTGTGTTAGCCGTTAATTGGCTGACCTAACGGGTCAGGTTAGGTGCCATCACGACTAGTGAATTTTGGATCGTGACAAGAATTCTAGTCCTTCTAAGCTATTGGGTTCTAAATTAATAATTCCTATATTTCAATAAATTTCTTACTACAAATATATAGTTTGTAACAAAGCTATTGGGTTCAGCCGAACCCGTAGCAGAAAGGCTAGCTCTGCCCAGAGCCTAGCTAGCGTTAATTAAGAATTCTTACGGTCTTTAATTGCTGAAGATATTTGTTATTTCTTAGAAATTTACTAAGACGTAATTATTGATGCTTTATTTCCATCATAAGAAGGATAGTTTTCTTTAAGTAAGCATGGAAAGGTTTAAGTAAATCAATAGCGTTCTATAAGCAGTCTACCATCAAGGTATTTAAGAAGATGAACAATTTTTGTACAAAGATGTAACTATGCATTCTAATAAAAAAGAAAAAGTAAAAAAGACAAACCCATACATTAAACTATGCATATTAAAGTAGATCTCTTCGTTGCTTTCAAAAGGTGGGGAATTTGAGACGTTACATTCAGTAGTTAGAAAGACCAAATTCATCTTCATAATTGCACATATGAGAATTCATTTCACATACTAAATAAATACAACATAGAATTTTCTATGCTTTCACTCTTCAACTACTCATGTTCATTATCGTTATATAACCTACTTACAGCGGGCTGCTGGCACGGAGTTAGCCGGGGCTTCTACCTCGAGTCCTGTCATGATCGCGCATCGACGAAAGAGCTATACAAGCAGCATTGCCCTTCTTCATTCACGCGATATTGCTGGATCGATGCAGGGTTGGTTTTGCTCTCTACCTTCACACGGTGGGATGGAAACAAGAGAGGTCAACATGAGTGGCAGCCAAGGGATGGGGCCGAGAATATGTGATCGATCCGACAGGGATTGGAGCAAGAGTAGAATGAAAGAAAGTTGTCCTTATCTTCTCCTCCAATATCCGTTCATGCTTTTATTTGACAGCTACTAGCCAACAACACAGGAAAAAAAAATAGAAGTGGAATTTATTCCAAAATACTGGGTGAACGCATTTTGTAGAGATTACATTCCGATATGCATACTGTATTTTTGTTATTCTGTACAGTAAAGAAATAACAATTCTGCGATTGGTCAAAATTAGTGTCATAAGTAGTAAGTACGTCTAAAATAGAGGAAGACAAGAAGGTTGGTCAGGGTAGTGCATTATAGTATGTTTTTATCTCATGATTCAGGCTCTTGCAAAAGAACTATAGCACCGTGCATGTTTGAAGCAATCAACAAATATTTCAAGTACTGATTATATTAACTCGACCAAATGGAGTTACTAGCAACAGAACAATACAAAGACTGTTGAAGATACAGAGGAGATGAGAGGAGAATTACAAAATTGAAAGATGAGAATCAGAACCTACTGCAACATAATAGCCTATAACTACAATTGCTTAGCAGCTTATTTATACTATCTTGTGCTCTACTCATGCTATAACCGCCTGCTCTGCCTTCACATATTTCAGCCTTTAACCTTCACAACAAAATCTGTTATCTTTTGGATGGAATCTTCACGCGCTGGCTACGTTTCACAGCTGCACTCTCTGGCTGAGTCAGCGTAGCCACAATGGCATATGAGGTGTCCTCCACATCAGCTCTATTGGTCACAACAATACCTTCCGCCTCTGAAAGAACCTTTCAGAGATGAATCAAAACCAGTATCAACAAGATCAGTGAGCTGTCCTGAATCTTGTTGTTGAGTAGGTTCTCCAATACAACGCTTGAGCAATGAAACATGGAATACAGGATGGATGCGTGCTTCATATGGTAATTCTAGTTTGTACGCTACCTCGCCGATGCGTTTAAGAACCTTAAAGGATCCAAAGTAGCGTCTACCCAACTTGGTGTGTTTTTGAAGGCGAACAATGTTTAGTCGATAGGGTTTGAGCTTAACAAATACCCAATCCCCGACCTAAAAACTTAGTTCTTTGCGTTGCTTGTCAGCAATCCCCTTCATCCGGTTCTGAGCACGCGCTAGATTAGCTTTGAGAAGAACCAGAATCTTGTCCCGATCTACCAAGTAAGCTCCAACCAATTCATTGGGGCTGCTGCCCAGGATATACCTTGTGACAGCAGGGGGATCCCTCCCGTACAGAACTTTGAAGGGAGTCATACAAGCAGACGACTGAAACGCTGTATTATACCAATATCCTGCCCATGGTAACATTGCGACCCACCGGTTTCGTGCATCAGCTACAAAGAATCATAGGTATTGCTCAACGCATTCATTCAAAGCTTCTGACTGACCGTCGGTTTGAGAATGATATGCGGTGCTCATAGCCAAAGCGGTGCCTTGCAGCCTGTTTAATTCTTGCCAGAAGGTGTGCAAGAAACGTGGATCATGGTCAGTCACCATCGATCTGGGAGGTCCATGGAGACGAATGACTCATATCATAAAGGCTTCAGTCACATATTGTGCCCAAAAGGATGATGGAAGGGCAATAAAGTGCCACTACTTAGAAAGCCTATCCACAACTGTCATGATAGTTCCCCCTTGAGCTAGGCAAACAAGTGATGAAGTCCATTGCGATATCCTCGAATATCATAGAAGGAATAGGCAAAGGCTGGAGCAACCCCGCCGGTAAATGGATAGAGTCTTTCATTTGTTGGCAGACCTGGCAAGCTGACACATAGCAGTGGACATCCTTATTCATTCCCCTCTAGAAGAAATTAGATGAGATTCTATGATAAGTTCGTGCTACTCCGGCATCGCCACCAATCTGCCACGACCCAAACCGATGGGCCGCGACAGGCATCCGGTATCTTACTCAACCGAGTACCAACATAACATATCTTTTTGTATCGTACTATCATAAGTAAATGAGACGGAAAGGCTGCCGGGATATAACTAGAATAAAACATATAATACTAACTTATACATAAAACATACGGGCCTATAAGACCAAAATGATCACTTGTACACAGAACATAGACCGACAAGGCCATACAATCTTTCACATACATAAAATATGTCTACAATCCTCTAAGAGTAGATAAATACCATAAAGGTCCGGATAGAGCCCCGTCATACGATCAATACATGTCCAAATCATACTGACCAAATAAGCAACTCCGGAGCAATTGGAGCGCACCAACATCTTCCGCCTGAGCAGATAGCCTACTTGGAGGACTCTCAACCTATCTATCGGGACCTGCGGGCATGAAATACAATGTCCCCAAGCAAAAGGGATGTCAGTGCACCGAGTATGTAAGGAATGAAAATCAGTAACTAAAAGACATGGGAGAAACATGGAGTAAAAGACTCAACATGTAAGTCTGAATAGCTCTGTGAATCATTTAATATTTATAATGTCATGCATATGCGTATATATGTCATACCAGCATAGGTATATGCGTTCACAACATCATCAAGTCTCTGAGGGCATCCCATCATATCATCTCGGCCACTGTGGGCAAAATCATCAACATATACCAGCTGATCAAGTGGTGGTGTGTATATAACGTCGTAACCTTTTCCCATATCCCATATACATATAATATACGCGTATATAACGCCATCTGGTCTTGGGTCAATGTACATGTATAAATTAATGAAATGCATATGAAATACGTTAATAAGATTTCTTAGAATGTCATAAGATCAATATGCCTTTGATTAATATCATGAAATAAACTTTATCAACTTACGTATTTTCTGAGACCCATGAACAGATGATAGAATAATAGGACACATGGAGAATCAAGAACATAGGCACCTCTATATTTCTATGAATAGAATCATTTATGAAAGTTGTGCATTTGCTCATTTCGTTTATGTCGTATGGATCATGCCAAAAAGGAAAGAAGGGATAGCCTTAACATACCTGAACCTATTCTCTTGACAATCCTTCTAACACACTCCAATCGCGATGAAAAATGTAACGACGAGATTGAAATAGAGAAAACTCCGTATGATATTCTTGAGAAAGATTGTACCGTGCTCTCTTAGAATTGCTGAAGCTCCACCAGTTACATAGTAGTTGTAAGCATCTCCATCTTAGTGACTTGGAGAAGCCTTTTATATTAGTGGGTATGGGCCCCACTTTTGGGGATTATTTTATCCAAAATTCTCCTAAACATGCCACCAAATTATAAAGACCAAAAAGTCATTGCATCTTAAGTCCCTTGCTGCCACGTGGGGATAGGGTCATTATTCAACTTATCCATAAATTTTAATTACATGGTTAATCTCCCACTAAAATCAATAATTACCCAATTATTCACATAATTTAAGAACTATCTCAAATTACTTAAAATGCTACTTACTTTTAGCACACTATATATACCTTACTATCATGGTCATGTGGTACCTTGTATGGCACAAGTCCATAAATACCGGGTATTATAGCTTAGACCATATTTTATCCCAAAATATCAAACTTTGACGAAACTCATTTTCCTCGATTCGCTCACCCTCTCATCTTCACGAATTTACTTATCGCTTGTTTGAAATAGAATAACACTTATAATCTCAAAATAATCTTATTCCCGAGCTTACGTCGATTAACTTACAACGAAACTTTAACGTACGAAAATGTGGGATGTAACATCTCATTTTCGAGCTTTACTTATGGCTTACTTTAACGTACGAAAATATGGGGTATAAAATCATTTCCCCCTTTGGAACATTCGTCCTTGAATGTTGACTAATGCACTTATCATTTTCATAACCTATGTATTTCCAATACTTTAGTACTCTTCTTGCCATCTAGGCAACTGTTGTGTGAATAAATCCAAAGGCCAGGGCATTCCTCCCCGTTAGGCCTCCTTCTCACACCATGACTTGTGGTTGGAATGCTTCCAATCTCGTAACTATTGCTACTTTCTGTCATGCAGTATGTACGTCTTTGTCCTTATATGTGCGCCTATGCAACTCTTCTCTCCTCTTTCCTCCATCTTTTATCCAATCTATAGGCCTCACTTTGTGAACATATACAGAACTTGACAAGGTGTCCCTCTAGGCATCTATAGGTTTACCGAAGTTCTTTGCTCGTAACTTTGTCTAACTTACGACTATTGCTATATCTTGTTTCATAGACCCAGTTATCCATCTGTATGGCTTTACTGCATCTAGTTAGGTCATACTATACCATAACTCTTACTTTGGTTTTATTATTATCGAGCTCTGCTACCCAATTCCAGGTTATCCTCTCGCTTCTTATCATAGATGTATAAATCCAATTCCTTCAATGATTCCTTATTACTGTTCATCTAAAGGATGACATCCTTATCTCCTCTTATACAATCGAACTTTATACATCTATTGTTGATTCACCTTAATGTTGATCCATAATCTACCACTGATAACTTGAAACCTCTACATAATGCATTGTCACTAGAGCTTACGTCTCATTGAGGAATATCCGAAGTGACTTGCCTAATCCACCTAGGGGCAATACTATACTTCAATAACCGTATTTCATGGCATCCTTATGTTGTTCATCTTATGGGGGTATTTTAATCCTGTACAATTCATAAAATCCTCCTTTTTTCTTCAAATTATTACTCAATCGAAGGCCCAAACGTCATCCTTTATCTAACACAATTACACCCTCATTCTACTACCAGGGCAGCATTCCATCTCGTCTAAATGCTACTAGTCTTAGACTCCTTTTCATTCAGGCTATACTGAGCTTTCTATAATTTAGAGAAACCATCAGCTCTCTGGTTTTTATGAGCTTAATCCCGAGGACTTATCCATTCTCGTCACCTTCTCACTCGCCCTTTCTTTTTCTTACTCTTGTCTTCCTAAAACCTTGTCGCTTTACCATACATTAGCTTGCAACCTATACATATCTATTTATATTACTCACAACCTTCCTTCAACTTGCTTGCACCTAGATTTCCTTGTGTGATTCTAGAACATCAAGCGAGCGAGACATCACCTCGTCTCTTACTCTTCTTTACTCTCTTTACTAGATCTCTCGATACCTAGAAACCATAGGCTGGAAGATATGCCACTGAAGATGACGATATTATTACTGGATACTGAACCGCGCTTCTAGCTTTTTATCCGAGGTATGGACTATTCACAACCTTCTGCACTTGAGTATCTCGTACGTTGTTCACCTTTACCTTACTTACCTTAGAATCTTGCATCGCATCTTCTCTCTTTTTCATGACCTCCCTTCCATACAGGTATAATTTACATCCACAATTTGAAGCTTTATTATATGTTTGCACCTCTAGTGCATACACAATCCGGTGGGAGCTTACTGACTTCTTATGAGGCTGGTACTCTTCTAACTGGCTTTATCGTAGAGCCGTTATAGAATATGGCTACTATACTATCTCTCTTGTACCTCTGATATTAAGAGTGATCCTGCAATGTTCTCAATCACGTTTTTTATAATTTTCTTGGTCCAATAATCAGACTCCTGAGTTACTTGGTTGATGTAACTCTTTTAGTTTCCTCTTCCTTCTGATAAGCATTCATGTAGGCTTAAGCTATCTTCCGATCTGTCGCTCATGGTATTAGTTATTACTTTAGCCTTACATGGATGCTATGGAATATCAGTGATACCATCATCAAACAATTCAATCATTTGTCTATGACCTGGACTCAGTTCTTTCTTTTAACTTATAGCGGAATCTTAGGCTGTATGAATATCAATATATATGTTGCATGGATAATACTCCGAAATCTTAAGTGTGTTCATAACGTAACTAACTCTAGATTGATCGAATAATTCCTTTTTTTCCATCTCAACTTTCTTTAAACGTATGCAATTACTTTTCCTCGTCTTTCTGCCCCTTTGTTGCGTGCATACTTAGCTTATCTTAGTTCCCACGCATGCCGGAAACTTTGTGCAACTCATATGGTCCCGAATATTACTTTTGATTATACTCTCCGTTCATTAACCACGATAGGTGTCACTTTCTTTTGGGGTGCATACAATTTTGTAGTGAGACTGTTATTATAAGACTATTTCTCCTTTAAGTTACTATGCTTAGGTTGAAGCCTTCTTCCTTATTTCCTTAGCTAATCTTTTGTTGTAGTACTTAGGCATACCTTCTGGCCCTAGTAACGCTGTGAGCTTATTACATCATATTCTTGACGGAATTTTTGATGTTCTTCCTCGCCTATAATTATCCTTAGTTACGTACCTCCATGCCCTTGTACTTGTAAGGTCACTTCTGAATTGATATTTTGACTGTCTTCCCAGTGACACTCTCTTTTATTTCTGTAACACTCATACGGTACCTTTAACTATCCCAACTCCTATCTGCATATTTCTCAAGGGTCACGATGTCATATCTGCGAGACTAAATTCCCCATCTTGGGGTTCACTATGTTTATCTTATGCGATCCGTTGGTTTGTCTGTATCCTCTTGTCTAGCCATAACTAGGCTCTT